CACTTGACGCAGCGGCGGCTTCACCGGCCATGTAGATTCACAATCAGTTGTGATAACTTTCGTGCATACTCTCTGTATTTTATCACGCAATAATTCGCCTGGTTTTACTTGATGTGTCCGCTCAGTTATATTTCATCAGTGTGAGCGGCATGCAAGGTAGGAGCGGCAAAGGGGCGCCGCCTGTTGCCGTTGAGTGGCGCCGCCTGTTGCCGCTGAGTGGCGCCGCCTGTTGCCGCTGAGTGGCGCCGCCTGTTGCCGCTGAGTGGCGCCGCCTGTTGCCGCCGGCGGCCCACTCAATATCGATTGAAAGCCATATATGACATATTGTTCACAGGCTGAAGTGGATTCTGATGCGTGAATCTGGTAAATTATATCACAAGTACCCATATGCTGAGCCATATTTGGAATACTGTGTTGCGTACACTCTCGTTATATACTTAAGTTATAACTCTCGGGTGGTAACCGTCCCCATATATGTTATATGTCATCACATATAACATGGAGAGAAAGGTTGCCTACGGGCAGATATATTCCCCTTAACGGCAGCTAATGTCATATTTGATATTCCTTACTGTCTATTGCTGGACTAAACAATCTCAAAATGAGTATTACATATTGCTTTGGCTGTATATTACTTCTTACGGTTTGACATTCACGACCGGGTTCAGGTCAGCATCATATATTGAGTTGTCCGATGTGACTAAGTGAAAGTCACCAGCAGCAGGTATGATCGAGGACGATTAGTCCGGAGGTCCCGGGCCGCGCCGTGCATTGACATTTCGATCGTTTTTCGCAACTTGCTGTTGAACTTCACTAAATTGAACCAAGTATGGTTTGCATTTTCGTCGCTGGGGATGAGCTCGGAAACATCAAGACCGTACGCTGTCATGAGCAGCCCACAGCCTCAGGGAGCAGAGCAGAGGTGAAGACAATATTTGACGGCACGGCGTCAGGGAAGGAGAAGAGCATCCAAGGACTCGCAATAAGCTCAGGTTCTACAGGTGGAAGATCGGTATGGTACCAGTCGCTCTGCCGTAGTTTTTGTGTTGATATGAGCTACTGTAAGGGAAGATAATCACAACGCATGCGGACGGCGCGGTTAATGCATCCTCTATTTGCGAAGAGGGCTCGCTAAAGCGGGAACATGGATGGAATGAAACTCGGCTGAAGCCCGGTCAGCGATTCGTCGGACTCGCAGCTCATGAGAAGTAAGGTCTTCAGCTGCTCGCCGGTCGAGCCTTGGCACTCATAGGCGATCTGCTGGCTCAGAGTAACCTACACCTGCACTTCTAACGGTGCTCTGCGCCGTACATGGGTCGACGATGCCAAGCAAGAGCTGCAGCATGCCACTGCATCGCTACCCATGCGTCTATGCGATTGGCGTCTATCTGGCGACGAGAAGTCATTTATATATGGAGGTGAAGAGGTTGAAGTATCACTGTGGGATACGGAACGGGCCTTTGCTTCTCAACCGCCCAATACTGAGCCTAGTGCTCAAACGTCAAAGAAGAGGAAGCGGGGAGGTGATCTACTACCAGGAGAGACATGGAGAGCAAAGAATGTGAGTCCCCCTCATCCGCCCTTCTGCCTCTACCCTCGTGTTCACGACGTTCGCAGGTTCCGAATGACTTCCTGAGTCTCCGCCAGCCAGTTCATAACACCTCTCTGACCTATCTATCTTCACCAAATGAAATCCTCACTGGGACAATGTTCGGTAATGTTCGAAGATACGATGCCCGCGCTGCTCGCCGTCCGGTCGCAGATTGGAAAGGAGTCAGCAAAGTCGGCGGCGTGAAACTCGTACATAAAGGTCATAATGAAAAGTGAGCGTCATTGCCTATCATCCACTCGCACGAAGGATTTATGGGATACATTCCAGCGAAGTGTTCGTCGCTGATCAAGGGTCCAACCTCTTTGCGATGGATCTGCGGAACGGCCGGATCCTGTATGGATACAAAGGTACCTCCCCTTTCTGAGCCAACGATCGCGTAGCACTAATGTGCTGGAAGGTTTATCAGGAGCAATAACGTCTATAGCCTCGGCTCCGTCCTTACTAGGATCAGTCTCCCTTGATCGGTACTTCCGTCTCCACAGCATATACCCTCCCCCAGCCGATGCCAAACAGCGGCAAGAACAAAGAGGCGAGGTCGTCGACAAAGTGTATATGAACAGTATTCCCACCGTTCTTGTATGGGATTCCGACGCCTCCGACATCGGGGGGCAGACTGTCTCGAGAGAGGACGATGGGGAAGATGACGAAGATGAAAACGACGACGACATTTGGGAGACCATGCAAAATATCGATGAGAGCACCAAGGAGGCAAGCCGTAGCAACAGGAAGAAGAAAGCGAAAGAATAGTTGATTATACGGTATCAAAATATCTCATACATATGTCCAGTTGTTGTAATAAACGACGACCTAGCACTAGCTTTCACCTCGTTTTATTGATTACCGATCTCGCTCTTCCAAGTATGCGCCTTCTCGAAGCCGTTCATCCCGAGTTGGTCTAAGTCCCGCCGCGGGGTTTTTTGTCAGTGCCAGGGGCCTCGGAGGGAGTTGCGTAAAACAAGGCTTACAGTCTATCAGCGTCTTCTGGATCTCCTCGCGTGATGTCATCACAAACGGTCCGTACTGGAAGACGGTCTGATCCAGGGGTTCTCCCGCGATCTGCGAAAAGGTGCGAGAGGGTTGCGATCAGCAGGAGTGCGAATATGGCAGGATTGATCCTCCTACCAAAACGAGGTTGGTGTCTTCTTCGGTCGCCTCGAGCTTAACACCGTTCTCTGTCCCTCCAGACGATAGCACGAGGGTGTGGAATTTCTCGAACGGTACGGGCTCGTCGCCGACCTTCACCGCGCCTTTCCAGACTGGAGCGTTCTTTGAGGATAAAGTGAGAACACCAGCTAAGTATTGTCACTCACGGTAGATAAACGACGTCCATCCAGCAGCTATTACGCCACATTGAGGAAGGTCGAAATGGCTGAGAAGCGGATGTTAACTCACGAAGATCCTGCCAAATGGTTGCAGGCTTCTTGAATATTACATGGAAATACCAGCAACCACCCAGCGGTCGTACGGGGGATTCAACACCGTGGCTTTTTCCGCTGATGACCTTGATCTGGACAGGGCCTTCAGGACCCTCTGGGTATGCGCTCGGGATCCTAATGATCGCTCAGTTAAAGACGTATCATTTGGCAAAAGATATCCGGTTACTGGTCTGGCCCTAGCTCTTGATATGAAGGTTCCTGCGTGGATGATCCCCGTGACCACACGAATCAGTTGATATCTCTGAGTTCACGCACCACCATCTTGTACTAACCGAAACCAAATCAGATCAGAGAAGCCAGCAGATGAGGACTTGTACGTACTTCCTTGGGCAGGTCCACCCACAATTGCAGACCCCGAGGCTCCGGTTGGTCAGGAGCATGCACTGGCATCTCTGCGTGGATGACTGGAACGCGATGAGAAGAGCTGAGTCACCTAAGCTCGGGTTGTTACTTACTGCCTTTGCCCTAATTACATACCTACGGCTTCAGGACAGCCCGGGATCAACGCCAAATGGGACGTCACTCACTGCGCACATCCACTGGACACCGCCCGTTTCTATCGTCCCCTTGTGACCGGCTGAGTCCTCGTGTTTGCTCGAACTACAATTGTATGATGTCAACCACTAACTCGGAGATGCAGAATAATCGGACAGACCCTTCAAGCATGTAGGTCACAGTAGCCTGGCCACGGTGGGGGTGATCCGGGAATCCCTAAGAATTCCTCAGTTTGCTGTCACAGTCATGTGGGGTAAGGGAGATCACACTTACAGCGCCCTTAGAAACATGGAAGTGGTCTAGGACGAGGAATGGCGTGAGGTTCCTCAGTTTCATTGTCCCAATGGACCGCCTAACGAGTGCACCGGCCCCCTAGCGAAAGTAGCGGTCATTATCCTCTGCAGCGGATGGGTAAGGCGTAAATCTCGTACTTCAGCCTGCTCGATGGCCAACACCTTCTTCACCACTTTGCGGGAAATCTGAGCAGCAGCCATCTGGACAGGAGCAGATATATTTTGGGTAGTTGTAGTCGCCAAAGATAAATCGCGGACTAGGTTGGAAGAAAACAGGTAATAGGAGAGGAGCGCAGACAGCAAAGCCACGAAGGCCGCTTTATACATGCACGAACGTTCTCGAGTCTGGCTGAATAATCTAAGGCGTACATGAAGGAGATCTCAGTTATAATGGCGGCAAGTAGTCAGATACTTCCCTGTTGCGGAAGCATTGGCTCACGCTTCTCGTGTCCATTTATCTTTACGTTACGCACATGACGTCTATTTTGACTGCCTTTATCAAAGTCAAGCTTTCCGGCGGCTCGGACCCTCTCTGCCTTCGTCCCAGAGGTGGTTTCCCGACTGCACAATCGTCTCTCGTCGTGCTCGCCAGCGTGCAGCAGCACAATCGTGGTCATGAATATTCTGCCGTGCTACCGTTGCCGAGCAGGACCAGGTCGACTTTGAGCGTCGCGAGTTCGGATTGTGGTGTTGGGGTCTCTGTGGCGTGGTTCTGTGACATGCAGTCACATTTCCAGTAGCTAGACGTCTACCATATATAGTGTGACTACCGCCATACTTGGGTGGTACTGAAGTCAACTTCGAGGCCCAAGCGGGAAGCTTGTTCATTCAAGCCATATTGAAGCTTCAATCTCTACATTGATGATACAAGTTGCCAGGAGATGAGACTGGTCACACTCAGATTTAGTAGTAGCCTAGGACATGTACTTAATTCACCGGCCGGCTTCTGATACCAACATATAGTCCACTGTTCTTAGCTATCAAACCTACTATAAAGTGCAACACATTGCTTCGAATAGCACTTTCCCCCACCGGAATTCTTGTTGGAGTCTTTGAGGCACAGGATACTTCACCGACGTACCTTCCAAGTCGGGATGGTTGTTAGAGAGCCACCTCAATCCTGACATGCCA